ATTTCAGTTGGTTCTCTGGTGACATATCCCGTTTAATTTCTCTTTTGTGTTGAGATCAAATCCTTCATTAACTGTTAGACACATCAGTGGTTTCTCTCTTTTAGTGTTCTTTCATAGAAAAATGTTCAGTGTTTGAGTCTTTCTATTGTTTGGGTTTGTTTTCAATTTCTGCTCTAACCTTTATTACTTCTTTTCTTCCGATGAGGGTAGGCTTATTTCACCGCTCTTCTCCAATTGTTGGAGATTTGGGCTAAGGCATTGACTTTGGTTCCTTCTTCTTTGGTGTTTCGAATATTGCCCTCTAGACACTGCTGTTGCTGTGGTGTTCCAAATGTTTTGCCCTGCTGACTTCCACTCTCATTTGATTCAAGGAATTTTCATTTATTTTTATATTCAGTAATTTTAAAATAGGGTGTCATTCAATTTCCATGTATTTAATTTTTCTCCCTAGACCATCCTATTATTAACTTCTAGTTATATAGTTCTGTGAGCTGAGAAGACTCTGTAGTTTTTTGATGATTTTCAATGTATTGAGGCAGTCTTCGTTGGCCCAACATGGTTTCTATTGCAGAATGTTCCATGTGCAACAAGGAAATAAAGCATTTGATGCTGTTTTGTGCAGTGTTCAGTTCATACCTAGGACGTCCAGTTGGTTGACTATGTTATTTAGTTTTTATATAGTTTTGTGCATTTCCTTCTAATTCTGTCTGTTGAAAGTGGTATATTGAAGTATCCTACTGTCATTATAGAGATGTTTATTTCTGTCTTCGATTCTGTTGGAGTTCTAGTGATGTATTTTTTTGGCTTTTTCGCTTGGATGCAGAGATATGCATTATGACTATTTTTCTTGTTCAATTGATCCTTTAATCATTATGTAAGCATTCACTTGTCTCTTATGGAAGTTTTAGCTTTAAGGTCTACTTTATCATGATTAATATTGTTACTCCTGATTTTTCTTATTAACTTGATATTTTTTCCATCTTTTGATTTTGAGTCTATTTTTGACTTTATGCCAGAAAATAGATTCTTAATGAATATATTCATAGCCATTATTAATTTTTACACATTCTACTACTCTCTGTCTTTTGACTGGTCCATTACTGTCATTTAATCTCAATGCATTATTGGTAGGTACTGTGTGTGTGTGTTTATAGTTCTGCTTATTTTTTGTTGTTGTTGTTATTCCACATAATTTTGAGCAAAGCTCATTTTGCTGTGGGTTTTTTTTCCTTCCAACTATTTATTTGGCATTTGTATATATTGTGTGGTGAAATTTCTTTCTTTTTTTTTAATCATTTTTATTGCGGGCTTGTGCAACTCTTATCACAATCCATACATACAACTATACGTGTGAAGCACATCCATACATTTGTTGCCCTCATCATTCACAAAACATTT